CGGGGTGCCCCGGGTCTGCTGGGGACCGTCTCCAGCAGACCAGGGACACGGGGAGCAAAGCCGCAGCGGCGGCGGAGTCCCGCGCCTCTAAGGCTTTGCCACAGAAAAGCCTCAGAGGCGCGGGACCCCTCTGCCTCCCCGGCTTTGCTCCAGGTGTCCCTGGTCTGCTGGAGCCTGTCCCCAGCAGATCAGGGGCACCCGGAGCAGCTTTTCTCGTCCCGGAGGTCGAGGTGGCGGGACTGCTGCACTCTGGGCGGTCCCGCTGTCTGCGAGCTCTGGGGCGAGAGAGCCCCGTTCGTAAGTGTGGATCCGACGTAAGTCGGATCCGCGTAACTCGGGGACTGCCTGTATTGGCAAAGTTTGTGCAGAAGTGAAAGAATCCTGATAGACATAAGCGCTGTAAATCATAGTTATTGTACTGTATTTAATTCATGTGCCAATTATTTTTTGTTGTTTTTAGTAACAGCATGCTTTATGTAATAAATAGTGATTGTATGCTTTCATATATTTTTTTTTCAAATAGGATGCAGTAGAAGTTTGCAAGAAGTTCATGGAACGTGACCCAGAAGAATTAAGATTTAATGCGATTGCTCTTTCTGCAGCTTAATTATTTTATTAGGAAAAGCTGCACCACTAACGTGTTGTGAAAAAAAAAAATAATTGCCATATTATGTATGACTTTTGATACTTTCACCTAAGCATACATGGATTAAATCTTGAATTTGTTTTTACTGCATCATCTTGCTTGTTCCTAAAGTAGTTCTTTTGAAACAGTGTTACATATACACACACCAAAGATCTTTCATGCACTTAAGTCTTACCTTTCAGTTTTTCTGAATTATTCCCTGAGGAAGGCCAGAATTGAACATACACATTCAAACACACATCAGGAAGCACATTGTAAATTAATAAACAACAACAGAGAGGAAAATGTAGGACTCTTGGTTTTTAAAACTGTTTTCTACTCATAAATTAATCAAAATAAAGTAACAATACACTTAAAGAATTTAGGGCAGTCACACACCCAAAAATAGTTTATTAAAATTTTTATAAATGCACAGTTATTGAAAAGACATTCCCATAAAGATAGTACTGTTTCTCTTATCCAGGCAATTTAAGCTCTAACATGAAGTTTAATATTTTTAATTGTGGGTACAGTTTTCTGGGCATCAGCAGGGAGTAGCATTAAGAGCATAGCAAGAGAGAGTTTCCATACACACAGTTCCTGCAGTTGGTGCCACAGTGGTCTCTTGCAGCCTGGAGAGGCAATTGCAGTAAATGTCCTGTTCATCACCTCTTACTAGAGCATTCTCATTTGCTCTGTGGTAATGGTATGGGAGCAGTATGGTCAGCACATAGGGAAATGAAGTACAATCAGTGTGGATGGATGTAAACTTAAGAGAATTTAGCAACTAATTTCCAACAAGTCTACTAAGAATATGCAAACTGAGAAGGCTTTTGTTTATTCAAGACTTGTAACATGGCCAGATTTTGGTGACTCTTCACAAAGATGGCAAAAGACACATCTGACAACAAGACATTGCCTTGGCCAGTTTCCAACTCCCTGTTCCCAAGCTGCTATTAGAGCTTCTCAACAAAACAATTTAATGTTATCAAGATGTATTTTACCTGACTTCAGTCTTGAAAATGTCTAAATCTTTTAAGCTGAAACTTTAAAGAAAAGAAAAGCAAACCTTAAGCAGCAGACACATGACATGGAAATGTTTCTGTTCAAATGTTAATACTGCATTCGTCCCATTGCAAGTCTGCTCTACTGCCACCGAGTGTGTGTGAGTGAGAGAGAGAGATTCCTTATTGGAACTACTGAAGGTGAGATATTACATCAATATATCTAGAAGATTGTGGAAAGGAAAAGGATTCCTTGAAGGTGTGGTATCTTCATTGCTTTTCCCCCCAGTTGCATCCTGAATGTACATCTAACTCATTGTGACATACCAGGATACAATCTAAATTACTCAGCTGCCGTATTACCCTGGCTGTGCACTTTCGGGTGCCTTGCAATGCCTTGCCGAAGTAACTCACACTTGGGACATTCACAATGGCCTTCCAGCATGCAAGCCACACCCTTAGTATCTGTGTGTGAAACTGCAGTCTGCCAGCTACAACTGGGTAACAGTCTGGTTCTCAACTGCCTTGGATTCACTGCAGGGTAACATACTCACGGGCAACCCCCCTTCCCATCTTAAATATTCCCACCAGAAATGTCCTGTATTGCCCATCCCACTCTGGACAATACATGTCATGTCAGGCCTATTATTTCTGTAAATGAACAAAATGGCAGCTTATTTGAAATAATTATTCAAACGCTTCAATTTAAACACAATGGATTAGATAATACAAAAAAATAAGTTTAATTACAAAAGCAAGCATAAAAATGAGAAATTTTTACAAGAAAATACACAACTTGTGCTTTACAAACTCTTGAATTCAAAGCAAAGCATCTGCACCATGTGCTTCCAGCAGTCTGTCTTACCAAAGATCAGGGCCAGGATCAGGGCCCCTTCTTCCAAAGCCCAGTAAAGGTTCGGTGATTACAATGGTCAGAGAGAGATGCCCAGAAGTGTTTGTTCCTCATTTTTATACAGGTTGAACCTCCCTGGTCTGGCAACCTTGGGACCTAACTGGTCCTGGGTGAGAGATTTTGCTGGGGAGGTCATTTCTGGCACTACCCTGCTGCCCCACTGGGCTTCCCGGCTCTGCCCCCATAGACCCATCTGAGCTGTCACTCCCCACCTCCTACCCTGCAACTCAGCCATGCACTGTCTCCAACCCTCTATAGCTATTTTGATTATTTTCAGGAATAACGGCATTGCGCAAGGGGGGGGGATTCCTGCGCAATAAGGGGCATTGTAGACAGCTCCTTCTGGCGCAAGACCCTCTTCTGCAAAAATGGTGGCTAATTAGGTATGCAAATGAGGCTCCGTGATATTCCACGCTTAGCCTCATTTGCATATTTCTCATGCAAGAAGCTGTGAGTGTAGACATAGCCATTTTGTGAAGCAGTCAAAATTACATTTATAATTAAGATCTATGGATTAGGATGATTTACTGCCCTTAGTGAAGTTGCACTAATACTATTCACACAAAAGCATGAATAGATATGGTAACAATTCAATCTGTTCATATTTGATTTGAATACAAAGGATCAGATTTATTAATAAGATACATTAGAAAGAAGCTCATGATAGTTCCAGACTGGCAATTTGGTTTCTCCAATTGCAACTGTTTGAAGTCTGAAACTTCAAGTATGCCTTTTACAAGCATATATTTCAGTAAAAGTTGTTGAATTTCTCTCTCTCCTAACAATAAAATGGTACATCTAGTATAGAGTTGTTGAATTTCTCTCTCTCCTAACAATAAAATTGTACATTTTTAATCTATACTGCAAAAAACTTTTTTTTTCTAAGGAAGTTTTACTGCCTTCAGCCTAGCAGCTCTATCACAAGCTAGTCTATCTCTTAACAATAAGAACTGAGACTTCATAGTACTTTGTAGGATCTAGTTTTAAATTATTTATGCTTAGTTTACAACTTATTTCATCCTGTAGTAAAATCTAAAACCTTGATGCACTTGCAAAAGTTGTGTCAACCACTAGCAAAGTATAGGATACATCAATTAAACGTTTTTGTTTATAGAAAAACTATGATTAAAAGTAATTGAAAATTAAGAACAAAAATTAGCATAAATGTAATGTTAAAGTAATGTTAAATGTCAAGACATTTCAAACAATGATTTCTCAACAGATCTCATTTTCTAAAGGATACAAGGTATCAAATACCACCATGCTGCATAGAGACCTCTCCCTTATCCAGCTGACCATGTTTTCTGATAGGATGCTATATTTGTAAATTGCTGCAATGGAAATGTAATCATAACTCCTACTCACACCAGGCCCCAGTTGAAATAGCCAATGAATGTGCCTGCTTTCTATAGAGGAGAAGGTGGGAAACTGCCTGGGGACATCTCTGGGCATAGTTTTGTCTAGAACAGTTGTATGTAGTTACCGGAGACTAGAGCACAGCACTCTAGAAAGCTAAACTCAGGAGCAACTGATAGGCCTTGTCCACTGTTAGGATGTAACAGTGAAAGAGGCTTACTCCAGGCAAGACTATAGAAGATTTTGGGAGAAGAGAGGAAACATTATAGAGTAACTAGAACAGGAAACAGCAAAGAGAATATATAGGTAGGAGAGGGGGGAAATGTAGGGATACAAAAATCAATGGCCGCTATGATGTGTATCACTGTTGCCAGTTATAGCAACCCCAATCAACGTGGGCATGTTTACACAGCAATGTAAGAGCAGGGATAGAAATGTGGCCACGTTAGTCTGGTCTAGCTGAAACAAAAAACAGGATTATGTAGCACTTTAAGGACTAACAAGATGGTTTATTAGATGATGAGCTTTTGTGGGCCAGACCCACTTCCTCAGATCAAATAGTGGAAGAAAATTGGCACGGGGCATTCTAACCTTCTAGCCCAAACCCTCCTTCCATCTACATGCAATTGTCTGATTTGCGCTAGAAAGCAACCACAGCTGGGGAGGGTGATAGAAAGCCTGTGATATGGTGGTCTGATTCAGATCTGCTTACTACAGTGCAGAAACTGGAGCTTGGCTGGGGGAGAGGGAGGCTCAGTCCAGAAATTCTACACCATGGGATCCCCAACGAGTGGGGACACTCAAGCTTTGTGTGTATCCATGAACTCAAGTCCTACTAATCCATGGCTTATAGTGCAGGGTGTGCATAACCTCAGTAAACATACCAAGCAAATTAACTCCTTTCTGTTGCTTAAGGGGATTTCTGTAATCCAGGGTTGAAGCACAGTGGTGAGACTGTAGGGAAGCTTGCTACTGGAACATAAATCATACCCATTGTGTTGATCAAATGAGCAGTTCAGGTTGTAGGGCAGATTTCAAATCCTATCCAATATAAGTGGTAAAATGCCCTTCCCCTTCTTCAGATATCCAATTGATTGGTGTCTTTGGGGGACCGTTAAAACCCTAAAACAAAACACTAATGATTAAATACATTCAATATAGTAGAAAGAAATTGGTAGGTTTTAGAAGTGGACAGACTGTGTAGTGGCTCAGAACCTGTTCAAGAGGACATCATGCTTAGAGTTTAGTACTCGAGTCCCACTTGATCACCAAGAGCAAGCTAGGCTTAGAGGCAGACAGTCAGGCTATGTCTACACTGCCTCTTTTTGCAGAAGAGGCAATGCAAATGAAACACTCATTAGCAACTTCTCGCGCTTCATTTATGTAATCTCTTCCAATGCTTTTTGAGCAAGAAGTTTTTGCGCAAAAACAAGCAGTATAGACGGGTCCATTTTGCACACACAAAAAACCTTTTGTGAAAGATCCTCATGCCTCAAGAAAGGAGGTATACAGATCTTGTGCAAAAGGATTTTTTTGCACAAAATGGACTCATCTGTACTGCTTGTTTTTGCACAAAAACCTCTTGCGCAAAAAGCATTGGCAGAGAATATGCAAATGAAGTGTGAGAAGTTGCTAATGAGCACTTCCTAAGCATACTCTCTGCTGGAAAAAGAGGCAGTGTAGATGTAGCCTCAGATAGGCAAGCAGCAGCATCTACAGAGGGCAAAGATATCCGAACTGCAGGGGGCAACTACTAAGTGACTCCTTTCGGAGCAGAGATCCCGTTCCTCTCCTTGCCCTGTGCAGCCGTTGTTCCTTTTTCCTCCCTATCCTTGGAATTGTCCCTAGCCAAGCTGCTTGCTTGACACTGGGAGCATTCTCTCTGCTGAACAAAATGGGGGTAGAGGGCTGATGTTGGGGAGTGCCCCTCTTCATTCCACCTCTATATCTGGTCTCTGTTGAGCTGGGTAGCAGAACAAGGGGAGGAACCTGTCTGTGCTGCTGCCTCTCAGGGTCTGCCAGTAGCTACTGGTGTCTGAATATCAAATCTGTCTTTGATCTTGCTATATTATCTCCTGATGGCTCTAAACTTAAAATATGGTTTAATCGGTGTTTGTATATGTTTTTCTTTCCCCTCTGCTTTCTAGCTATCCACTCAGTCCTTAATTTATGGTAGGGCTGAGCCCTGGCCCCTCTTTCAATACAAATTAAGCACTTGGGGAGGCAGTGGGTCCCAGAGGTGAGGGGGAAGATGGTGAGCTGGGGGGCCAGAGTGGATGGGTGGGCTACAGAGGTGCCAAAATACAAATTAGCCCAGAGCACCATTTTCCCTAGGCTAGCCCCCCATCCATTCTAATTAGAGGAGTTCAAAAAGTCAGCTATGAATCAGTGAGAGCTAAAAGAGAAAAATGTCTGAAATGCGGGTGGTGGTCACAGGATACTGGAATTTTGGCTCTGGCATCTTTTGCCTTTGGAGACACAATGGAAAGGGTGACTGACACAGAGACAATACAGAATGCCACCGCCTTCCCTTTTGACTGCTGCTCAGATCCAACAACAACAAAAAAACCATTGCAATATGTGTCCTAATGTCTTCCCTCACTCCTAATAGCCCTGGGCCCTACTCATTGGCAGTTGAGAAACCTAGGAGAGGTTTCCTTTGAGTTTTTTTTTTCTTTGGAGAGCAGGTGAGGGTTTAATAGAACTAACAACTTAGCACCATTTCATGCCAAAGGAGTCCAAACACGTAACCTACCCAACAGTGCCTCGGCTGGGGCTGGTCTTTTTTTGGCCAAGGAGGCAGTGGCACACCGTTGCTGGTAGGAAAGATCCCTGAATTCTGTGGATCTGCGGACAGAGTAAATTAAGCGAATGTCCCTTTCAAGAACTGTAAAGGTTTCCTCAGCTAGGCACTGGGCTCAGGGCAGGAGAGTACCCAGGGTTGTGCGTTCTATTCCCCCCCCCCCGCGTGGCCAGACAGCTGCCCCAGGGATGGCATAGCAGAGCTAAGGCAGGCTTACCCCTGGCCCTGTACCACCCCTGAAAGCAGCGGCTCCAGGTGCTGCCCCTCATCCACAGGCGCCACGGCCTATTTTCCTGGCCAGCTCAGCGAGCTCGTTCCATCCCCTGGTGGCGCTGCAGAGCACCTGCAGGCGCCGCGCAACGGGAGAGCCAAGGTGCCAAGGCGAGGCCGGCGCGTCTTTCCCTGGCGCTTCTTTTACCTGCCGCCAGGTGGGGCCGGGTCACCGGGGCCAGGCCGCTGGGGGATTGGGCTGCAGCTGCGGAGAGCCGGGCTGGGCTAGCAGCGGCTGGAAGGCGAGGTCGGTCTCCCGCTACCGGGCTGTAGCGGCGCTGGCGGGGCAGCTGTCGGGCGCTCTCCCCGCGGCGTGCCGGTTCTTTCCCCGACCCTCCTAGGGGCGGGCGTGGCGAGCGCCTTCGCCCGCAGCTTGGCGGCGGCCCAGAGCGAGCTGACATTTGGGGGGCGGGGGTGCAGCTGTTTTGGGGAGAGGGGGAGAAGTGCGGTTCGACCAAATACCCCGCCTCTTCCCAGCTGCCCTCGCTTGCCTGGCTCCGGGGGGGTGACTCTGTGGGTCTGGAGCCAGCGGCTTCTTCAGATTCTTGTGGTTTTCGGAGCTTCACCAAAATCCCGGGGAGGGGCGTGGGAGGGGCTGACGGGAGCGTTCAAAAGCCTTAGGAGCGCGGGCCGGAGGCTGCCTGCCCCGACTCCAGCGAGAGCCCCACAGGAGCGGCAGCATAAGGGGCTGACCACTGATTTCCTGTCCCCCACCCCCTTTCTCCTAGCCATGGAAGGGAGAGAAGATACGGAGTGCAGCTCGGATGTGGTGGCTTTTGCCGAAGCTCAGAGATGGGTGGAGGTGAGTGGATGGGTTTTACTGTGTCGCGCTTGCTTGCTTTGTAGCTTGGCTCTTGCCCATCAGCAGTTAATCATTCTCCATAGGCCTAGGGACTCCCCTTCGCAGATAAGGAGGCGTCCAGCGCTGGTGGAGGCGCTTAGGTGCTTGTAAAGTTTCCTCTCGGTCCTTCTCTATGTGCTCGGGAGCGCAATGTCCAGCTGTTCAAGGTGACGTTAGTCCCGGTCCCTTCGCTCAGTTCATGTTTGTTCTCCATGGATGCTGGCTGGGGCGTTTCAGAGGAAACAATGGGGTCCGCGTTCTTTGCCCTTCAGCAGGGAATTTGAGGAGCTGAACGCCTGGGCGGGAATGGGGAAGCGGGGGCTGTATCTCTGGGTAGCACTGGGATAGTCTTGCCTCCGGAGGACTGAGATTTCAAAGCGAGTAACCGAAGAGCTGCTCCGCTGTACACCGAAGGCGGTTTTAAAAAACGTTTTAACGGGTAGCTGAGAGAGCTTGGTTTGCACGAGTCCTGTTTACAGACTTTCGAACTTCATGAGTAGCTGCAGTTGATTGCATGTCGAAAGTGGTGTTAAAAGCTGCTGGGTCTCATAACCATTTGAACATTTATACAGGATAATGTAATTGCCATTTACAATTTCGTGATTTGCGCCCCCTCTCTCACCCCCCAGTTTGATCTAATCACACCCTCACGCTCTCCGGGAAAGTTGCGTAATCTAGATTATAGTAGTCTATGTCTCTGAGTTTTAAACTCTGGTTCTTGGTTAATAGTACTTGTTTGTGTATAGACTGATACCAGAACTTCTTTAGCCTATGCCTGTGGTCACATATAAGAGGAGGGGGGTTTAGGGGGATCTCCAGAATCTAAAAACCTAAATATCTTTTTAGGACGGGAGGGATAGCTCAGTGGTTTGAGCATTGGCCTGCTAAACCCAGGGTTGTGAGTTCAATCCTTGCAGCGGCCATTTAGGGATTTGGGGTAAAAATTTGTCAGGGATGGTATTTGGTCCTGCTGTGAAGGCAGGGGACTGGACTCAATGATCTTTCAAGGTCTCTTCCAGTTTTAGGAGATAAGCAATCTTCATTAATGTATTGTTATGAATTCTTTAACAATCAGTAATCTTACTTGAATGGATATTTGGATTTTAAAATATAAAATGTTTTCAACATCCTTATAATCTGTTTAAAAAAATAAAAAAGTTTATGTTCAGGGCATATGTAAATACATTTACTTTGGTTTAAAGCAAAGGTTCACTTTTAATTAGTTTCTTTTGCTACTTGTTGATTCTAATTAAATCCAGTTCCATAAAATACACAAAGTCATTTAGTACTAGTAATCTTGGCCATGTCAATTAACTTTTCTCTTAGATATTGGCCCTGTAAAGTTTCCTGATAAGATGAAACTTTCAACAGTACTATTTTAACACATACTAGGGAACTTCAATGAGTGTCAGCAGGCCAGTTAAATCAGTTTAAATCAATAGTTTGTTTGCAGTTTAAACTTAGTGTCTTTTGTTAGAAATGCTTGCTTACTTTGAAACATTTTTTCACTTTGCAAAGTGAAACCTTCTAACACTTGGAGAAAGATGAAAGGAAACAAACACTAGATGCTTTGTATATCTCTTAAAAAAGAAAATCTTGTAAACTGCAGTTTATTGCCCTCCGCCATGAGTCTCCTTTAGTTGAGATTTCAGTACTTTTGGCACAGTCTTTTTACATAGGAAGACAAAAGGAGTTTTAGGTATTCAGTAGTGCTAATTCTCGTAAGGGGAAGATGTCACTTTTGAGCATCATATAACTGTATTCATTGGGAAGGCAAGCCTTGTCAGTAAAGGATATACACATTTCACCAAGTGCAATTTTCAAGGAAATTTGGACGTAGGTTCTGTGTTCTAAAAGTATTTCTCTGCTCATCACAGAATCCTATATTCCAATAGGAGATGGACTGACCATTTTCAGAGCGCTAGATGTTTTTGGAGCTTCCTAATTTTCTCTGTGGCAGAGAACAGTTTTTACGAGCATAACCTAAAAACCTTTTTCAGGCATCCTTATGCAGGCCATTTTCGAAACCAGAGACCAGTAGAACGTTAATTTTATAGACAATTACAGCTGAGACCCCTGAGTCTATATAATAACTGCCATTGCCAGTCAAGATATGCAAAAATGAAATGAAAGTTTTGTATCTTGGTGAGATCCAATCAGAGTTAGCATAAATTTCTGATATGAGGAACACCATCTTCAACATATTATAATGGGGTAGAGCTATCCCTTCACAAGGACAAGGTCACATAGCAAATATGTAGCAAAACCAGGAACAGTAGAATTCTGCTCGCTTAAAGTACAGTGTACTGGGTGTTAACCACAAGACCATCGCTCTTCTAATTAGGAAATAATCTGAGTCAATCTACTTTTGCTGTTGAACTTGGTATGGGTCCTGTGATGCCTGCTACTGTAAGGATAGTCCAAGGAGTCCTAGGAATGGAGTGATAGTAGCAAGCATAGAATTCTTTGCTGCTCACTGCTTAAAGATGTGTGAGTACACAATCTCCTTTCTCAACCTACAGACTTTCTAACGTATCTAGGTCAAAAAAGATATCTACTCACCACCATACCTGGTAATGTCAGGCTTAGAGGTAGGGAGTGAGCCTTTGGCCTGTCTCTCAAGATTTCAGAAGGGAGGGTGGTTTTGGATTGCTAATGACTCCACTAGAATACGTACAAGTGTTCATATAAAACTACTATTTTACTTGAATTCTACATTTGAAATGAAGCCAACTCTCCAGGTGGATGTTTCAGTTTTCAATTGTTTGTTGAAATAGTTAGAAACCTAACCAGCAAAGGTCAAGTAGTATTTGCTATAAGGGTCTCTACAATTTCATGATTTTTAGAAACCTCTCTATTTTGCAGTAATCCATGAAAATCCTGTTCAGGAGTGATTGTTCTTGAAAAAGCCATTGTAGTCAAGCTATGAGGCCCCTAGTTCTTTGACACAACTTTAACTGATTCACTAAAGTGAACATTCAGCATTGCAAAATGTAAGGGTACCTCCTGTGGTCTGTATCTGAGGATTTCCTACTCATTAATCAATAGATCGAGAGTTCTAAAACTAGTCATACGGTCCAAGAACCATTGACCGGGTTTTAGATGCGTGGTCACCAAAAATGTCAAAGTGAGTTATAAGGAATATCAGTTCTGAGCTACACTTCTTGTGTTGGAGTATTGCAGTACAGTAAATTATTGAGCTAAAATTTTGAGTACTTTTTTATACTACAGGCATCTTCAAACAAAATCCTACATATTTCATTTGAGTCCTAGTGGCAGAGTGTTCCCTCTTGAAGATAGAACTTACTCTTAAAAAACAACAACTAAAGTTACTTAAAATAACCTTCCAATTTGGGCATATTGTCTAAGGGTTGAGTCCAATAAAATGGTCATTTAACATCTGGTCACCAAATGACTTTGCTTGTGGAATTTGTTATAAAGCCAGTATGTTTACTATATATTTTCATGGCTTCTGCCAGTGCAGTAAAAATTACTATTTGGGATGTTTTTCCTGCATTTGCTTAAAGATCCTCCCTTACTGATTCTCTTCAAGCCATGGATCTAATATATATACAGTCTGGTTCAACAGATGAGACAAACAAGTGTAGAGAAAGGATTAGAGGAACAGGATCTGAGCAGACTATTTAGTTACCTCAGTTGTGCTAACCATGGTGAAAAGTATGCCTGGGTTGCATGCTAAAAGCTCGTCAAGCTCCTGAATGGTTTCAGAATGAAACTGTATAGTTGAAAAGCAAAATCTGTGTGTTGTGCTGACTGTATGGTATCTGTTACTGAGTAATTCTATGATCAGACCATAAAACTTGGGTGGGCCAGTTTCTGTAGACCATTTTATAGCTGTGCTGTCTAAGCCTTGGCTGAGTTCTTAATGTCTACATAAGGGATGTATTTTAAGCTTCTGTTAAGTTAAAGCATCAATATTTCATTGTGTGTGTATAGATTCTTGCCCATGAGTCCCTGCAGGGGATAAATCTAAACGTATCCAATTAAAGCCTGAACGTGGACTTCCAGGGCAAGACATACACTTCAAAGTAAATAGTGATGAAAAGAATTTTTCAAAGTAATCTTACTCTGATCTGTTCAAAACCATGAAAGTGTCAATGATTTCATACAGCAGAAATGGTAAGAATATTTCAGAAGATGAGAACTCCACTCTTATATGTGTAGCTGAAATTCTCTTTCTCAATAACACACACATCAATGTGACACTATTTGGAGATGTCAGTGAGAACTATTGATAGGATGATTTTGTTAGAGAATATAAAGGTGCTTTAGTGGATTGATAATTAACACTTTAATTAGTTTACTTTAACACTTCAGTTACAATGCATGTTGCTTGTCTTGACTGTCCTTAATGCGTATGCATATAGAACTTCTTGTGTTTTTCAGTAGATTTTAAAGACCTGTATCTTTTTGTCTTTTATTCATTATAAGAGCTGTCTTTGTATTTTTCAGTATTGCTCTGAAATCTTCCCAGCAGATGCTAACATTTATCATTTTTGCGAAAATGTCCTAAAGATGCTGAATATCACTAGCTATACATCTTCAATACTTCTGATACTTGGGATATATAACATCCTTTCTTTAGCTGATCCTTTAGATGAATGTGTTAGGTTATATACTTACTTGTGGTTTGGGTTGTGGGTTGTTTTTTTTTTCTGAGCTGAGTTAACCATGGTTACCAGCTACAGTCAATCATGGAACTGTTATTACTCCTTAGCTCTGTGTTCTTGAACTATGACCTAAACCTTTCACCAGCTTTGTGGGGCCACTAATATTTTCCTTCCACAGGTCAGGAGCGAACAGACATTAGGTAATATCTTCCATGTTCAGAGTGCTCTTGGTAGCTTTTTCCACACTGGAATAACTTCCTTCGTTTAATGCTTTTTTTCTCTATCACACATGCTACTTTTTCATCTAAAGTTTTGAAGTTTTTAATGAGC